TATTGCAAGCGCTCGTAAGCGTTTGTTGTCGCGTAAGTGTTTATTTTTATTACAACACACGCACGTTCATAGAAAAATATTAAGTACTCAGGCTTATTTTGGGATATGGTGGTCATAATAGAAATTAAGATTTGTATCTTATACGTACATAAGTAAGTATATGTATGTACATATATTAGTTTACATTAACGTTTATGCATGAATGCTGAAATGCTTTAGTAACTACACATAAAGAAATATGTATGTAAATAGATAGGAAAATCTACAAAGTATGTAGGTAAAATAAAAAATTGTGTACTTGCATTGTAATCTCACATAACAATGTTACCTTATTATAAACTGTCTTCACTTTGTCCAGGTGCACATTATGCCTTATTACTCGTAAGTTTTAATTATTTATGCGCTTGCTTTGCATTTTTTTTACAAAAATTAATTTCTTTTTCCAAATTAGGCTGTGCAGAAATTTAAACATAAACAATAACTTAATACTTAGTACTTCCCAGTCGGAAAAGTAGTAATGCATTACATGCGTGATAAAAAATATAATTTATTCCTTATGAGTTCTCGATAATATTACTGCTAACTGTGTAATCAGCATTCTAATGTATTCAAAAAGTTCCAACAATTTCATATTAAAACACATTAATTTCTCGATACTAGGTAATGCAAAATTGAAAGCCCCACTTTTGTGAGGACATCGCCCTGGGGGAAAAAATGCATTTTCGAATGTGAAAAGGGTTGTTTTACTGATTAATTTTTCGATTACTATACATTACATTTTCCACTGGGTTTTCGGCTTAGCCAATAATTAACAATTCCTCATACGCAGTGTTGCACAATTTTCAAACCGATTTACATATACATCGTTTTAAAGTAATTATTCAAATTTGGCGCGGTTTTTACTTTCCAATAACCAATTGTCCAATTAATAAAAATTATATAAGAGGCACATATAAATATTGTCAGGTGCTTTTCGATGTACAAACGAATTGTTTGGCGTTGCAAACGTGCAACATAACCATGACTTTCGAACATTAACACTTTCTTTTTATTAATTTTAGAAGGCTATTTATCACGTTTTTGAAGTAATATTTTGCAAAGTGTCAACAAATGTGTTTTTGCCAAAATCTAAATTTTATTATAGCTTGCGGTAGAATACCCAGCCAGTAAAAATGCTTGGAAGATTTTTGGTTAAGTCGACAAGCTTCATAGCAATTGGCGTGTTGGTTTTAGGACTAAAGCTAAAAAAAAACGCAGATTTTATTGTGGATTTCGGCAGAATGTCCCTTCATTAAAAAGGTTTGTTACGCAACTTTTTTTTGTAGGAGAATAAAGTATACTTTCGAAGTTATCGCAAATGCGTATGCAACAAATTATAACAAAAATTCGCTCCAACTTTTGCTGAGAAAGTAAACAAAAGATCTGTGTACATTTTTTAGTGCAATATTTTCAAGCATGCAAAATTTTGAATTGTTTCACTTTTGAAGATCGTGTGCGATATGACAGGAGATCCCAATAATGATAAGAATAATCATCATCATAATCTTAATAATATTACCTACCGTTCTTTAATTTGTTGTTATCATCCTATGGAAAATATTTCCTAATCAAGATCTCTCAAATACCTTCCGGTTGGTGCCCGTATTGTAATATTTCATTTATTTTATTAATTTAACAGAGTTCAGTTTTCTAACAGGTCACAACCCTCCTCAAAATATTTTCGACTTAAGCCTTCTTTAAACTCTTTAATTTGATATTTCATAATATTTCATTTATTTTTCAATTTAACTGAGTGGAAGGTTGCCACCTGTTAGAAAATTTTATTCTAATTTAATTGCAGATATAAATTTAATATCGCAATATGGGTATCAAACTAAAGAGATTTAGGAACGTTTACTGCCGAAAATATTTTTTGCGGAGGATTTTGACCTCGCTGAAAAATTCTATTCATTTAAATTGATAAAATAAATGAAATATTGCAATATGCGTATTAAACTAAAGAGGTTTAAGAAGGTTTACTGTCGAAAAATTTTTGAAGCGGATTTCCACCTTTTTTGAAAAATTTAATTCAGTTGGGGTTAGGGTGATAAAGTAAAGTAAATATTAAATTAGTACGCCTTTGAAGAATGATACGTATACGTATACACGAGATATAAGATTACAAATTAAATTTCCAGAAAAAAACTAATACTTAACCTACTTTCTAAATACCTTCGAAAATATACATATTCATAGCAAAAAAAAGCATGCTTCATGTATCGAAAATTTGTTGAAAATCTCATTTTATAAGACTCCTTAAAACTGAGTTTTTTATGAACGAGGCCTTAATGGTTTTGGGAGGGAGTAACAACACAAAAGAATTTTTAAGGCGCAGTGAAGCACACCGCGTATTTGCTAGTTTTTTCTAAAAATATAGTTCACTCTAAAAAAAACATAGAAATCAAGAACATCAACATCAACAAAGTTGAATTAAAATCAGAATTTTAAGAAAAAAAGCAAAATAAATAAAATTACGAAAAATCAACGGCAATTTGTAACTACTTTAAATTTGAACTTTATTTTACTAAAATTTAATGGGCTATAAAGCTGCATACTCAGAAATTTTCTTAAACTCTAAATAAAAAGTGTGAAGTTTTGAGGAAATTTTGTTGAATTTTTTTATGTTTTTTTTATAAAATTAACTATAATAATGGCATAAAAAGAGTAACAAAAATTAAACAATAAAAAAATATACAGTCAAAACTTTACTTCTCTTGCTTCTACTTCATCTCGCGTGGTTTGCAAATCATGCTCCATCGAATTTGAATATCATTATCAACAAGTGGTATTGGCGTAAGGTAGGTCCGGGCATAACTCACACGACTAATAAACTGATAGAAATAAACACAAAGCAAGTTAGCGATAGTAATGCAACAACAATGAAACCAAAGACGAAATAAAAGAAAAATTAAAAAAAAACTAACAAATATTCAGCAATAATTCGTGTGCAAATAGCCCAAAGGTAGGCCAGAAGCACCAGAAATCACTTTCACTTGTTGGCCGGCCAACTTTGGCGCATATTTGACGCGATGGATGTCTTAAGTATGCTTTGTTGTTGTTTTGTTTTCTTTTCGTTTTTACTTTAGTGGCTTCTCCCATTTTTTTTTTTGTGTGAATTTGCTTACATGTACACTCTTCGTCATTTGAATAGTGCAACATTTTTATTGCTTAGTGTTTATAGTTTTCCTCTTGTTGATTTAATGCACATTAATATTTTATAAAAATATAGCATATCCTACGTGTAAATGCGATTTAAAATTTTATACAACTTAAAAACAAAATGTCAACAAAGGCGTGTGCTATCCGAATGACCTGCAGTGAATAAGTTAATATTATTTTTAGAAAAATTTCGGATGTGCAGTTTTGTAGCTCACAAAATTTTTGTATAGTAAAGTACAAGTTTCAAGTGGCTCCAAGACGTCGTTGATTTTAGATAATTTTCACAATAGCCTCGGCGAAATTTTTATACGGAAGAAAATGCGCAGTACCTGCAACGAAAATTTTTCAAAAATCAATGCTTGAAACTTGCTCTTCGTTGCACTAGAATTGAAACTGCATACCCGAAATTTTTCTAAAGTATTATTAACTTATGCAAAGTAGTTCAATAGGATGGCATAACCCTTTGCTGACATGCTTTTATTTGTATAAAATTTTAAAATCGTATCTAACCATTAAAATGTGCTATAATTTTATAAAAAAATAATAAATATTAAATAAACAAATGGAAAACTTTATATACTAAGGATTAAAATTGTGCGCTATTCAAATGACGAGGAGTGTATGTATGTATACTTACATACATATGTATTTATAAGTAAATCTTAGCTTCCGCGATGATTACTTGCTTGTTTTGGTTTGCTTGCTGGCCTTATATTTTTCTCTGCTTCTTCTTGTCTTTGCTTTGGACTACGAGTGCCAAGGCGCGTTTACAGCGATAAGCCGAAATAGTAAAAAAATAAAAACAAGTAAAAGTCGAAAACCAGCCGTTGGTTGGTAATAACCACACAAAAATATACACGCCAGTTGGCCTGCAATAAATATTGGTCAATTGGCTGTTGTAGCCGTTCGAGTGTCTGCACCTCACTCACCGCATACCGAAGCTCTCCGCTGCCCGCTCGCCACCATTTGACGTCCTTCTGGCTTGAGTGCTTATCATAAACGTGGCTTGTGTGTTGTTGCTAGATCTTTTTGATTTTGGTTTTTGGGGAATTTTGGCGCAAAATCACGCTGGCCTCTTTAGCTTTGCTTGCATGCCAAGCAGGTTTACTTGCGCCAGCTGACTGCAGCTTTTCGCCGCTTTTGGCCAACAAACTATCAGGCACTACAACTACCGCATGCGTTGTTGTAGTCAGTTATAGTCAGACAGCTTGCACAACATTTTTCGTGCTACTTTTTTGCTGCCCACATCTATCCCCTTGCAGCTCGTCATTTGGTTTATTTTTTAGTTATTTATTTATTTATACATTTTGGGTTTTTCGCTTAAGTCTTTCATTTTAATTTTGTATGTTTGTCGGTATTTTACTTTGTCACAGCTTTGTCTTGCATTTGTGGCTGCCTGCTTGCCGGTGTGCGCTTAGCCTACTCACATCAAAGTCAGTCAGTCAGTTGGCTAGTCCAAGACAAGTCGCGCGCTTCGCCAATTTTTAGCTTCATATCACAAACGCTCCTCAATTCGTTGCGATTCTTTTGAAATCACTTTCATTCGCTGCGTCTCTTTGCAATTGTCGCGCGGTTTACTGAATTTACAACAAATCCAAATCAAAGAGGCAAACCGACGATAGCCAGACGCGGAAGTGTTGTACCACGTTGGCTTCGCTTGTTTCGTTTTGTGCCAGTGGTATATAAACCCAGTGCCACTTTGTGGTTGTGTATAATTGTGATTTTTTCTATTGCTGCGGAAGTGCATTGGTTTAATTGCAAAAATTTTGTAATTACAAATTTAATTGAGCTATTTAGCGAAAATGAAGTTAGGTCAATTAGTGTCGCTCACATTTATACCTACGCTATATGTGTTGTTTGTGCTGTTGCTGGAATTTGTGGAAGATGCTGTGGCACAAAATCCTGACCCACTTTTCCAGCTACCCGTGCAGTTAGTCGGCTTCCCGGTTATCGTGTTATCAGTGCGCTTATCACAATTCGCTAAGAAGCTGGCTTACTCGTTGAATCCAAGTAAGTGGAGAGATATGAAGGAGATTACATAACAGCGCTATGGAATTTTAAAATGAAAAAAAAAAAATAATTAAATTGTATCCTCATTTTTGTTAGTGAAAATATGTATTTCAGTGGGTATAAGTAACTCGTTGTTGGTTATACACACATGGTTTTGAAATTATGTATGTAACCGAGTTCAGTGAAAGTAAAGTTACTTAAAGTGCACAGTAAATGAAAATAATGGCTCTTTTATTGATAAGAAAATTGCAATTTTAAAATTAATGACGCAAGTGGTAAGCTGTCAAGCCTTTGTTTTTCTTTTGAGAGAGGCTTCAAACCTAAAGTGGTATTATGACAGCCCGTTACTCGTACAAGTTATTGTATTGAAAGCGAAAATCTCCAAAGTTCTGTAGATGGGTTGAATTTACTTGTAGATACTCAGAAAAAAGTTTACATAACAACCATAGCTATTACTGATCATCGCTATTTTCATATGTATGTACATACATTAGGGTGCATCACTCCCTATACAAAAAAAAATAAAAATCGGTACTGTTTTTTCAACGAAAATATACTATTTAATACATTTTAAGACTTCGGCCAAAATATTTCGAAAAAGTATTAAGATTTACTAGGTTTACAGTAGCCATAAAAAATCGAATTTTTTATAAAGAGAGTTACTTCTTAAACATATTTTTTCTAAAAAATCGCCTGAGCATCAAAATATTAAAAATTGTATCAATGAAATAAAAAAAAAATTAAAATTTCTAGATTCTAAATATTATGACGGAAGTCTAAAAATTAAAAACAAATTTATAGATCTGCTAGAAAAACCGATTTTATTTTTGGTGGTGCACCCTTATGTACGCACATATTATGTAAGTATACACATATATATGTATGCACATTAGACCGTCCCGAAAAAATGTTCGCCTTACACCCTAATATATTTTGCAAGAAATTTTTTTGCCGAATGTAAGCGCCTTTAAACATTTTTCGTTATAATTTCAGCATTTATAGTCGGATCTCAAAGTATGATTTATAGATACTTTTTTTCTCGAGGAGGAAATTTCTGTGTCAAAGTTCATTGAGCTCAAGTAACCCGTTCTAATACTTATTCAGCAGATTTCAGTTCTTATCACCCTAACGTACCACCCTTATGTTAAATCATTAAGCTTTTGCCAAGGAAATCTTTCGATTCGAAGGCAATTTCGATTTTTTTTGCGAAAATGGGTCTCCATTTTACATTTTTCTTCATATCTTCCACATTTACAGTGGGATTTTAAAGCATGACAAACCGTTGTTTTTGTCTCGAGGAGGCATGTTTTTTGTTTCAAATCCATTGACGTCAAGTGACCCGTTCCAGTACCTACCTAACAGATCTCAATTACTACCACCGTTACATACCACCCTAATGTCAGTAAATTGAAGTTTTTGCTAAGGTAATATATTGATTATTCAAATAGAACTATTAAAAAAAATGTTTGTTTGCCGAATGTAGGTGTCACCGAAAAATATAAAAAGGTGACCCATAGGTTCGGCCAAACTAATTTTTTTTTGCTCGTAAGGTGGTACGGTCTAATGTACATATTTGTTGCCGCAAATTATTTTGTCTAAAAAAACACAAGTTCAGTTTTCGATCTCAAGATCTTAGCTGCTTGATTGAAAGTTTGGTTGAAATTCAAAAAAAAATATCAGTGAAATAAAGCTTTTTTAGTAAACCAGTTGGTTGTTTGTTGCTGTATTCATTATTGTGGCTACTTAACTCTGCTCAGATAAACTACCCGGAAGATAATTTAGGTAAGTCTTCTTAAGTGAAGCCATTCTAATAGGCCTATCTAAGAAGGGCTGAAAAAAGTGCTTGCTTGCATGCCTTGTATTTTGAAGGGCTTTTCCATTTACACTTTACGCGAATGCATAAATTGATATTATTTATTTAGCATTACAAATGAATTTCAATGAATATTTTAAAGGCCTTCTGAAGTAAGTTTGTCCAATAAAAGCCCTTCTGGAAGGCCTTCTATGGGTAGCGAAAGAAGAAGCCCTTCAATTTGTGCCACTCCATACAAAAAGAAAGGAATGTAGAGTGGAAGGCCTCCTGACTCTCAGGAAGGCCTTTCAGAATGGCTTTTAACTTCTGAAATTATCTACTGGGTAATCTTTCACTCATTGTCGTTGAACTTAGTCCCGTAAAGGTAGGCTAAGGGAATATGCTGTTTCGACGGCTCCGGCTTAAAGAGAGAGAGTGGTGTTAGCTGAGTAGGTTCAAAGGGGAAAGTGAGGAGGTGATTACATAGGTGGGATAGGTACTCGGACGGCGTCGTGACTGGAGACGTACTAATTTAACCTATAACAGTATCCAGGCCATAATTGTGCCAGTGTTACGCGGACCTTTCAAGTCAGCTGGCGCTCTTTCTCAGCTATGAGTGGTCGTTGAACCGGTCGGTAACGGCTTTAAAGCATTTACTGTTTTATTTTGTTGTGGCTACCGGTAAGTCAAATACCACTGGCTGGCCACCATTTTACTCTGTATTGATACCTAGGTATCCTAAATTAATTGACTAATAGGCCATATTTGGCGTGACAATTAGGCCAAAAAGGTTTTTCCCATAAACTTACGCTACCCAGTGAGTAGTAAGTTTGCAAATTTTTCAAATATAGTTCAGGATTATTAGCCATGAAATGCCGCACATCTGAGTCTTTTCGCCAAAAAGTGATATAGGTTCCGGGACACTGCCGCATAGAGGAGAATTGTAATGCCGTTGCACTGGCGCGACTTGGTACCAAATTTTCTATTGAGGATGTAAATGATGGACTAGGAATACCCTTACAAACTTGCCAGCTACATACTTCTGATAGACTTACTAAAGCAGCTAATGACAGATAATATGAAGCGATCACCTGCAGAACCGCCAGGCAATAATCGCCGCCGCTCAGAGCTAACAGGACACTGCCTAATAAGAAAGCATGCCTATAGACTAGGCGTTCGATTACATCACTTCTGTAGAAGTTGGCAAGATGAAGGAAAGGAGGAAACGACTTTATACCTGTGGTGCCAGTGCCCTGCTTTACCCAGAAGAAGACTCCATACTCTAGGTAGATGATCCTTAGAGAAGCTCAAACTGGTTTTAGGAGGGATTGGGAGTTGCTGAACCCGCATGCGGCATCAAAATAAACACTGAGCCTAAGTATGTCTTATAGACGACCACGACAACCTAACATAACCTGGTCCAGGATTATATTATAATAAACATTCGGGAACCAAAAAACTGTAATATTACATTATTTTAATGTATTTTTATTGGAGGGTTAATATCTTCTTTCGACAGTCGACGTTTTGAGGTTATATCCTCGGAATGCGTGTGCCGGGCCATTCCTTTCTATGACAGGTGCCGCGTAGGAGCTCCCTTGGAAAGTAGTGTTCTTAACTGCCCTCAATGCGAAGGCCGCTGAATCTCACTATAGTATTTCCACACCCAGAGGGTTTGTACTCGTATATGCTGACGAAGAACGCGTCAGAATTACATACTGCAATAGTACTTAACGATCTCGGTTCTTGCAGACCCACGTGAAGCTGTAACTGCAATGTTAAGGCCAGTATGCAGCTCTCAAGAAAAGCAAAAACTCCATATAAAATGACGTACAAGTAATGACAAAGAAATTTTCTTGAGTCAAATTTCCTTCAGGCAGTACGCAGTTCTTAAGAAATTTTCTACGCTTTCTACTACGGTTTTCCAACGTTTTTTTGTGAAAAAAGAGCACAAGACAACCCATGCTTGCAACAGAAATATATGACCGTTCCATTATGTGTTGAGGAAAGAGCGAGGCAACAGGCTGGTGAAGTATCAGTTGTCAAAATTGCTTGGTCACACACACGAAATAATGGCAATTTTTTTCTTGACATTTTCTTGAGAGCTGCATACCGGCTTTTAACGATTTTCTCTCGGTTATTGACGAAGGAGATAAGTATTCCTACAAGTCTAATTTGGGCTCATAATTGTGTAACTGAGCGATACGAGTAAAACCACTTTAAAGTTTTGGTGCTCACACTTAGGTACATATGCAAGTAGGTAGATACTCTTTGTAGCTTTTCAAAAACTACAAATATGCTGGCAACATTAATTTGTTAAAAATAACTACTCTAGCAGTTAAATACCATCAAATAAGATTCGTACAAAGCAAAAAACTAACTGCGAATACTAAAAAATGCTTAAATACATTTTAATTCGTACTATGGCATAGTAAATGTCAACAAAATAACAACAAATTGGTAAACGTGAAGAGCAACATGTGTCAAAGTAGTTTGTGTAATTTGACCATTTAATTGCTCAATTATGCCAAATGTTGGTTTTGCTGTAGAAATCATTACACATATCAACATTTCGTGAGTTGAGTGGATACATTTTGGGTAGGTATACTTAATGAGGTCAAGGCAATGCTCTGGCTCAGTGCATGGCAAGTCAAATGGGTGAGTGACTGCTTGTTTGAAATAGCGGTTTGCGGTTGAAGCATAAACTGTTTATGTATGCGCAGACACTACGAATGTTTGCTCAAATTTTTAAACTGTAGGCCGTTTTAGACACATGATTATATGTTGAGACTCTTAAACGACTAAGTTGGGCATAAAAAAGCTCGTTGTGATACTTTATTGGCCTATGTAAAGGAGGCCATGCTTTGCACTTTGCCAAAGCTCTACGTTCCACCGACGAGATCTCAGCAAAGTCTTGAAGCAATGATTTGCAATGCTCGGTAGTGTCATAAAGGTGTTGCTCAATTAAAAAAAAAAAGATCGCCGTACATCATCTAATGTGAAGTCCCTTTTTTTTGAAAAAAAAAGAAAAAAGTTTGATCAGACGTAGCACAGTTGTGCCAAACTGGAATTTACTGTTCACAAGAGTTCACCAATGCTGATGAGATTTAGGTTTAACAATTTTAATTTGTTTATATACATTTTTTTTTAAGTAAAATGCAGCGAATCTTACAATTTTGAACAAAAACGATTATGCTGTTCCTGTTAATGAATGTAATGCATACCCAATTTTTTCTAAATGCAATTATAAAAAATTATATTACATTCAACAGCAGGGGAAAGATAATATATTTCCTTCACAATTGCTAGTTCTCTGCACTTTGCACTAAAAAATTTAATATAAAAAATTAAAAACTCTGCTCAACAAATATCTTGAAAATATCATCACTTTTAGATTATAAAAACTTAATCAGGTAGGTGTGAAAACGAAGGCTCTCTACTATTTTGAACAGTAAATTCTAGTTTTCCACCACTGACCACGTGGTTTTTTATATTTTCGAGATATTTTCGAGCAGGTATTTTTATTATCCCAAAGTTCAAAGACTTCATGTACCCCGTTCTAGTACTTACCCTAATGTCGCCAAAAATCACTAAAGTTTTGCGAAGGGAATATTTTGATCATACCCAAATACCCATCAAATGCAAATGAAAAGGACAGAAATTACCGTTATATGGGATGTGGGCGTAGTTATTGACCCACTTCAAAGATTTTCGGCCATTTGGTATGCTGTACCAAGCCCAACAACTGTGCCAAGTTTGGAAGAAATTGGTGTAGGTGATACCAAGATATACACATGTAACCATAAGTGGGCGTGGCTATGCCCATTTTCAAAAAAAAATTATAGTGCTCTTATTTCACGTCTAAAAATGATTGTAAATATAAAGGATCTTATTTTTTCCGAGCTTTAATTATTATTATTTGTTTCCACCTCCATTCCAGACACCTATCGCGCGCGCAGCAAACGTGAGACTGCAGCATATGCCGCTTATGATGCTGAGTTGGCGCAAAAAGAAATTTTACGAGAGTTTGGACCGAGCGCTTGTATATTGGAGGAACCTTGTCGTGTGCATGCTTCACGGCCAGGCCGCTTTGGTGCACAACAGCATCCAGCGTGGAATGAAATTTTGAGGTAGGTAAATTTTTGAATACTTAGTAGTAAATATGTGTGAAAAAGATAAAATAAAAATTAAAATATTTATAAAGGTGATAGCAACTGGTTATTTTATAATCATTTTTCTTAAAATGCATGTAAAGTTTTCTCGCTCTTTTATCCCTTTTCTTTCACTTCCTCATCAGCAACTTTTATTCGCCACATTCGCCTCCTTCTTTCTATTTTTTTTTTCATTTAAACTTTTTACTGCATTTTTTTTTCCACAACTCTTCCACTTACTCTTCGCCTTAGCAAATTAAGTTTTTCTGCACTTGTCATTTTGTCTAAATGACTCTGTTAGCTCATCGCCATCTGAGTCGAATGCATGTTTTCCAATCAGACACGAAATCAGTTTTTATTTGCGAATTGCTAACTCATCTGTGCATAATTTAATGTCTTGTTCGCAAAACGTAATCGCTTTTGCTACCTTTTTCCTTGCGCTTAAGACATCAACAGCACATGCGTTAGTTGGCAAAAGCTGGCAAACAATGCTAACTACAAAGGACAAGAAAAATATGTATAAGACAGCAGTGAAAAGTGCTATAAATTGGCAAAGTGCATGTCATTGCGTCACTAACCGAAATCGGTTATTTCAATTTGTTCAAACTTGATTGAACTACAAATGGTAAGATTTTTCTTACGCCAAATTGGAGTGGCTGTGGCAGAGCACTTGTGCTTGAATGGGCGAAATTAGTGGAAGAAAGTTTAGCTAAGAGTTGCCACCTAGATAAAAAATCCTGAAGTTAATACGCAATAGGAGTAGTAAAAGTCATCTAATAAGAATTGGGAGGTATTTGGATAGTTGGGATTTTATTTTCTCTTAAAATAAGGACACAAAGTATTTCAAATCTTTTTAGATACTCCTTCACTCTTTAAGACTGAATTATTGAGTTATTTAAGAAGATTTGCATTCAAAAATAGTTCCGATAAAATGAAAAAAATTCAGTTATTAAAAAATAATAAATTTTGAAAATGCGTTATTTTATGGCACTTCTAAATAAAAAGAGAAGTATTTTTTTAAAATAGAGTTTAACCTCTGCGTAACGGACCTGGGTCTGAAACTCGCATTTCGAACGGTCTTTGGAATAGCAAAAATGATTTTCTAGAGAAAGGAGTAAGAAGATATGGAAAACAGATGGGCGTAGGAAACGAGTACTGCTCTTAATACGTTCTAGACCTCATTTTCGTTGTTGGTTTTTCCGACAGGGTAGGAGTATTATGTATTGTGGAACGATTTTCCGTCATCGCTTGTCAAATTTGATCATCCCTTGTTTTCACTGACGGATTGATGGAAAATCTTTCCACAATACATCACATTCAAGACCCTATTATGAACCTTAATAATTTGGAGAGGGACAGAGAATATAGCTCATCCATGCAACATCTCAGTCTGATGCAGCCGGCCAGCTAGACCGCACATGCATACGTAGTCCTCAAGGATTTTGTTCCATAATCAATCCTACTAAGGCTCGTAGCTCTTTCTTTTTTGGGTGAGAAGGAATTTTTCCGCCTACCTGTCTGACATTTTGAGTAAATACATGCATACCTGGTTGTTTTGTAGGTAATGGATTCTCATAAGCCTTATTCATTAAATCCGTTATGTATTTGATAGTTCCGCAGCACTTCATAACTGGCTTCGGATCAAGCCATTCATCAACCAGTTAGTAGCCTTAAACTCCACAGTGCTCCGGTATCCACATAAGTTCAAGTTGTTCTATTGCAATGGATATTCTTGGAAAATTCTTGAAGAGGTATTTGAAGAGGTGGTTTAAGTCCCGGGAAAATAAACTGAAATTACCATCCAAATGCATCAGTCTTGAAGCTATCGATATAAAGCAGTGTCACATTAGCTAAAATTTTGCAAACGGATTTAAAATTGGAACAAAAAATTTACAATTAGAGCACATAAAGTTAATCCGTTAATCCTTTTTAACTTTATTTGCCCTAAGTTTAAACGAATTTGCTCAAAGTTTATATTCCTTTGCTGAAAGTTTAAACTCATTTTCAGAAAGTTTAAGTTCATGAAAGTTTGACTTAATGTGACAATACTATAAAAAGTTTTTGCCGAGTTTCGCTAATATAGTGTATCAGTACCCGAAACTCTCTGTATCACAATCCAAAAGAATCCAGTACACACATTCTTCTTCATTGCCTCATCTTGGATAGCTAAATCCAGGGATAGAAAAACTAGCAAGGCATTAAAAGTCGCACCCGACTTTGCACTCATGGCGCCTGTAATGCCTTTACACACTCCTTTGTAGCCCATTTAACATAGCACCTGTACAATTTTACTCCGCCTCTGTACGGCAAATGGTTTTATGACAATATTTTTCACGTTAGAAAAACAATTGGACGTGCGACACTGCCTGTCGAGAGGCGGTGGTTGTTAGAAAAAATTTTTTCTAATTCTAAATGTTAATCGGACCTGGGATCGAGCCTAGATCCTACAAAGAGGTAGTGCGCTTATACCTCTCTTTATATTTAAAATGAATTGAAACAAATATGTAATTATTTTTTGTTTTAATATTCGTTCAATAATTCACACTCTTGCGTTCTTTAAATTTCCATTGTACTTGGCAGCCCTGCGGTACACGTGAAATCTGAACTTTCCGGTAATTGACTTTTCTAAAAGTGCGCTAAAAAAATCAAGTTTTACTGTATTTCATTACAACGCATTCAATTCATTCGCAAGCGAAAGAGCAAATAATGCTAAAAATGGCAAGTTGAAGTCATTGAAAATCTGCAAATAAAAATGGCGAAGAAAAGCTAAATGACTTTTCATAATGTTGCAAGTTGTTGCAGTGCAATGGCAATAGCAAAAAGAAAATAAAATCATTTGCTACGCGCAAAGCGTAAAAATTAGCAAACGAAAACATTTGGTGAAGTTATTCAGTGTATTTTTATTCTTTACTTTTAATTTGCTGCTGCAACCTTTACTTGTTTTCGTTCCCAACAAATGGTTCCTCTTTTAACTCAACTCGCTGTCTGTTGCACTAATGACGCCAGTGATCGTAAAATTTGGCGTCGGAGTAGTATGTACATACATATTTACGAAATATGCGTCACTCATACGCCATGCCGCCGCACACGACACTGCCCTGCCGTACACCATTGCGTGTTGTTGCTTTCCGCATCCTAAATGTATGCTTCCGTTGTGGACGGTAGCAGTAAAACGAGCAGCAACGCCACTGACCTTTGTCAACACGCTCTGCTGTGCGGTGTAGTACGTGCGTGCGTGCGTAGATGTGCGCTCTTGCGTACGGAATAAATTAGTAAGTTTTCCCTAGAGATTTTCCCACTCGATAAACAAACGAATGAGGTAATCAAATAACCAAACAATAGCGAAACGGCAGTGACTAAGAGCAAACATGTACTCTGAAAAAAAAGAAAAGAGAAAAAACTAAAAAGAATATGCATAATGTAAAAATTATGCGAGTTGCATTTATTTTTTTTCTTCTCAAAGCATACAAAGGCAAAGTTCTGAAGTACTTACCACCAGCACCACATACAATTGGTCACTTACAAATTGTATTTTGCAAAACTTTTCTTCAAATTTTGCAATTTGTCTTGTATTACAGTTGCACACTTGCGTGCGTACAATTCGTTTGCATAATTTCTTTGTAGCAAATTTGTTGATGGCAAAAGTTTGAGGAAATAAATAAATTCCATTTGACTAGCAATTTTATAGCGGCAGACGGAAAGTCTGCGGGACCTTTTGTATGGACACTGGGAATGAAATTAAAACTAGATTTACATAGTAAATGATAGTATTACGCTGTAACTGCGTATGTTGGTGTGCAAATTTGCGTGCATAGAAGCTGTTACTCTTCGTAAATTTATGTTTATGTTAGTTCTACACACTTTAGTTGCGAGATTGCGCCAACACATATATAGCTCTTAATGATTTTACTTTGCATTTCTTTTTATTTTTGCTGCCCATTTCTTTTGTCCACTTTGTGGGAAAGAATTCGTATTCTTCTGTAACCCTTTTGACCTTGCTGAAGTAAATCAAAGGCAAAGCGGGTGCAATCCATTTATGAAGTTGAGTGTAAATAGCGTATTCAGATCAACTTCGAGTCTTTTTTTTATTAATTAGTAAAGAGAAAGAGAGCATCTATTTAAGTTTCAATTGGGAAATATTGGAAAAACTAAGGCTGCTTAATTTCGTCACAACAATAGCAGCAGCTCCAGTAAAATCTGCGTGGAGCCTTGGGTCACGGCAGAAAGAGAGGGAGCTTCGGTGGGGCCACTGCGACTTATTACTAGTTTTAGGAGCTCACTGAAATCTGCAGTGTCTGTTCACCACTAGGCGCGGCTGCAAGCCGGCATCTATCTTGTAGCGATCGGTCGCTATATAAACGTTTATACGGCTGCAAGGTCTACTACAGTTGCCACGTAAAGACGCGCAAATTCGGTATTGCATTTGTGGTGGGAGAAACACTTCGTCGCCGAGTGCTGTCGTTCGCCACGGTGGAGGAGCGTCTATCTACATTCCGCATCAAAGCCAGATTCTTAAACATCTCACTGATTTGCGCCCACGCCTTGAAGAGGAGAAAAGAACGAAGCATCCAAGAATCTTTTCTATCAGCGGTTGGAGCGTGTGTATGAGTGCTGCCACCGACACGATATCAAAATCGAGCTTGGCGATTTCAATACCATGACGAAACGTCCGATAACGGACTGAGGCTGATCGACTTCGCCGACGCTCGAAACATGGTTTTTACTACCTAGATCCATCAAGATACGTGGTTGTCTCCATGGCTGACCGGCAGGAAAAACATCCGAAAATTTTACCAGAGAGTAAGGCGACTTACTGAAAGTTTCAAGACCAGAGCGAATTCCTGTAAGAACAAGCATGGCGACCTAGTGACCGATATCCAGAACGCTTAAATTATGGAGGAAACCTTACCCTACTGAATGGTATCAGCACTGAAAGTTGTGGAGAATATGATCCCGAGCCAGCCTTAGATGATGACGGAGTCGATTTCCCACCGCCTCACCATGACAAAATACGAATAGCAAACAACAAAGCTACTGGAGCTGGCAGCCTGCCAGCCGAGCTATTCAATTACGGCGGCGAGGAGCTGATAAGGTGCATGCATCAGCCTTTATGCAGAATATGGTCAGATGAGCGCATGCCCGACGACTGGAATTTTTGTGTGCTCTGCTCAATCCATAAGAAAGGCGATCCCACCATACGCGCCAACTACCGCGGGATCAGCCTTCTAAGCATAGGGTACAAGGTCTTATCGAGCGTATTGTGTAAATGATTGAAGCCCACCCTCAATAAACTGATTGGGTCGTATCAGTGTGGCATTAGACCTGGAAAACCCACCATAGATTAGGTATTCACAATACGCCAAGTCTTGGGAAAGATCCGCTCCGTCGACACTCACCACCTAAAAGCAGTTGCCTATATGAGTTTGGTATCCCCGCAAAACTGATGCGGCTGTGTAAAAAGACGTTGAGCAATTCCACCAGGACCATCAGAATTCCGAGCCGTTTACCACCAAGCGGCGTTTCATACAGGGGCATCCCCTTCGTGCAATATCTTTAATCTGATGTTGGAGAAGATAATAAAAGCTGCAGAACTGAACCGTTCAGGAACAATTTACTACAAGAGCATACAATTGCTGGCGTACACCGATGACATTTACATCATTGGTAGCAAAAGCCGCGGGGTCTGTTCTGCCTTTTTCTAAGTTGGATGAGGAAGCAAAGCGAACGGGTCTGGTGGTAAACGAGGACGAGACGACGTATCTCCTGTCATCTAATAAACAGTCAGCGCATTTGCGCCTTGGCACCCATGCCACAATTGACAGTTATAATTTTGAGAGAGTAGAGAATTTAGTTTACTTTGGAACCATCGAGTAGGCAATCGAGAAGTAAAGCAATCCGCCGGTGTACGAGAACCACACTCAGTCACAATGTGTAGTTATTACTACTTCCCAATTAAACCTCATTACCGACGTTTTCAACATCATGCATGTAACATGTCATCGATAAAGAAGCCGTTGTATTTAACCGGAGCTTCTACCTCCGGTTTGTGTTAACCGGACATTGAACAAACGGCCCTAACGGGCATTACTGATTTATAAATGTTTGACCATTTAAATTCCAAAGCACTATTTTAAAATTTTGTCAAACTCAAAGTCGATTTGCGATATTTATTAAAGGTCGCTGAATTAGTGTGCCTAACAAAGCAGGGTGTCTTTTGTTATTGTTTTTTTTTCCTGCATCATTTAAAAAACTGCCTGTCGAAATCAAAATTCTTACTCGTAGTTATCATTTAACTGATTAAAAAATAAAGGCATGATAATGACATTTACTACCGTAGACTTGCCTCCATTCGCGTATATGAACTCCTTTTTTAAGTCAGTCACATTTTTAATATCCTCATAAGTAGCCAAACTGCTAGAGGCACTCCAGCAGCTTTGGCTTTTACGCCGTTCACTTGCTAAAGCTACTCGCTTTGTACGATTACTGCATTTTATGACTCACTGCCATGTTTGCCATTTATCCTTTACAACAACAAAAAAAGAGTCGATGTTTTCCTCAAAGTCATTTAACTATGATACGCGAGTATTTGTTACTTTTTTACAAGTAAGTATTATTGTTGCCTTAGCTGCTACTCAGGAGTTAATATTTTTTAATCTGCTCAGTGCGATTTTTTTGCGTTTTTTTTTGTGCTTTCAAAATCCGCGTTGTACATTTTCATTGCCATTTCACTTTGTTTGGCATAGTGTGTGTGTGTGTTTGCCATAAAAATGCAGAGGGCTTTTAATGTCTGTTTTTTTGGTTTGTTTCAAATATTTACATACTCTATTTGGCTTGTGTACTTATAAAGCTATGATGCAAAGCTTAATTTCCTTTTGTTTTCACATTTATTTGCTTTTATACTCATTGCTTCAGTGCTATTGTCATATATTGTTGCTTTTGTTATTGTTACTGCTGGGTGTGGGTGGGAGTGCCTTTGTTTTGGTTCTAGCATTTAATATTTTTTATTATACTCTTTTTTCTCTTTCTCCTTTTGCAGAAACTACAGAGTTCAATCAACCGGCATGAAACAATGGTACCTACTCTCCGTCTACATTGGCGATGCAGTGCGCGATGTGCCACTCTGTCGGCACCTGGCCAAACGGATGCCATGTCCAGGCGTTGGACCATTGCCGCCACCGCAACCACGCTAAGTCAGTGTTATAGCCAAAGTAAAAACCAAAGCAATGTAACTAGTTACGTAAAATCAGCATGCAGTTCCAGTGAGCATGGCAGCTGCTACCGTTGGGAGTTGGCTATGGGGATTTGTATGCACCTTACAGCCATGGAATGAAATGCTACTACTTTAATAGTCGTTTATACATATTTCTTTGCATTACTTACAAAACGAAGTCAGCGTACATCACCCACATTACTTGTGTTGCAGTTTCGACAGATTGCAGACATTTCTTTGCGAACGCTCTTTTTTATTTTTATTTATGTTTAATTTTATTTGTTTCTACTTTTCATTACCTTTTCACATTCATCGCATTTGTGTTTCGTATGTTTACCAAAGTTTTTAATTTTGAAGCCAACGCAATTGTCGTGACAAGCAAAAGATACGCGCATACAAATAAAGTATGGACACATTTACAGTAGTCGAGGAAGAGCTGAAGCGGCGCATGAAACGAAATGCTCGTGACTACCACAAACGTTTGTCCCTAACAAAATCATGCATACAAATGAACATACATACATACAAACACGTGCGTGATAAATAATGTAATGTAGTATTTCTTATGAGTTCTAGATTCTATTACTTTTTAATATGTCAACAGCATTCGAGTTTATCCAAAAAGTCGCAAAAATTTCATATTAAATCACATCCATTCTTGCATTACCGGTAATGCAAAATTTAATGCCCCACTTTTCTTAGGATATCGCAGTGGGAAAAATAATGCATTTTCGAATGTAAACTCGGCTGTTTTACTGATAATTTTTTCAATACATTATATTTTACCACTGGGTATATATAGAAAATCTATCAAACCAGCTAACCCCTGCCTATTTTTCATGTAGAAGAAAAAAATATTTTGAGCACACATATGAAACGTGTTTCGTGAAAAATTTATTTTCTAACCCCAAAATAACTGTCTAATGAGTGTCACCAAAGAATGCCAGTTGTTCGTAAAAAATTGACCAAACAATTATTTTGGGGTCGCTGGAAAAGAATCCAGTGCCATTTTTTTAATTAAATTTACAGAATTTTGTAAAAATCTGTAAAAAAATACTCTTCACCATCTTGTATCCCCTATTTTTAATTCTAGAAACCCCCAAAATAGTGTTATTATCAAATATATTTAATTTTTTTTTAATTTTTTCAACCATTTTTGATGAAAAAAATTGACACGCCTCTCTTTAGACAGCTATTTTGAGGTTAGAATTTTTTCTGCATACAACACCGGACGACATCAAAAACAACACCGCATGAAACATTTTTCATGTGCTCCAAACATTTTTTCTCACACAAGGTTTCCCATATGTATTTATAAGCACATACATACATTAGGATGGCTCACCTAAAAAATTGTGCAGTTTCCCGAAATTAATTATAAACCACATTCAGTCTATTTCATGGCTACAATCAAATATTTCGCCTCAATGCAGGGCTATATTCCTGAGTTTGGCTGCATTGGGAATACATCCAAAAGAAGGGTTTCCATCAGACACTGTACCGAGTTTGTAGCAAAAAAAAATAATTTTAATGAAATTTTTTAAAAAAGTAAATAACTTTCCTTAACTTCCATTATTTTGAGCAAGAATTAGCGTATAGTTTTTTAAGTTATGATAAGCAGCTCACCCCCCTTAGAGCAGTCTCGTTTTAGTTTAACGGTTGTTGAGTTTCAGGAGCGGTATTGTCGGTCTCACTGCTTCGCTTCCCTCCACCTGAGTTTGGCTACGTGCTGTACTACAATGCCCAATCTTACCACAGTTGTATCACTTAAAATCCGAACTGCCGCGACGTGTCATCTGGGATAAGGACTCTTGTATTACGTCCCTTATGGTTTCTTCCAGCGAGTTGGGCTCTTCAACTTCAACGCGATGAACTTTGTGTGCTGGTTTGCTCAGGGGAGCTGCTGTCTCCTGTGTCAGCGCAAAAGATCCTTCTTTTAGCAAACGTCCCCTTCGATGTTGAGTATGCTGCCCGTTTCGTGTCCGGTTCTCGTATACCTCTCACGAATGCCTGGAACTTCATCTTTTCTATGAAATCTGCCGTTTCTTTCGCATATGCCAAATGCGCTAGCGGCGACTTTGTCTACAGTACCCCAGTGGTTTGTTGTTGCTGCTGTTTCGAACTGGATCTTAAATATTGGAGCTTTTACTTTGGAACCGCCGGTTAAAATATGCGGACGATTCAGTTGTAGTTCACACAGGCGAGCTTTCATTGCATCTACTTCAGTAACTGCGTAATCTTTAGATCCTGTGTTTCCAGTTGCGACGTCATATGTATCTTCTGTGCTTCTAATTAGTATAACACCTGTGATATACGAGTATCCTGCTTTTCCAGCTGCGCATTTATCTGCGACGACAGTTCCGATGATATTTGAGAAGAGAGTTGTGACATCTGCGACGATATTTGTGATATTGCAGCCATCATCATATTCATGTCTAACCCTGTTGATGGGCCTGGAGCCTTTGTCCTATCTTCCACTTTGGTCGATAACTCCTCAATTTCTAGCTGGAACACATATCCGTCCACACTGACGCCCTCTGCCTGCATAGCCTCGCGCAGTCACGCTTGCAGCTCTGCTTTGTTTCCAGCAGCTGATAAGCCCCGCTGTTCCAACTCCTTCTTAAGTTGCGGAATCTTAAGTTCATTAAATTTCGTAATTTTCAAGATCTTGTCTTATGAAACTTTATTCGACAATCCCACTTCTGCACCAATTGTAACGTCCTTCTCAGGTCTCTTTGAATCTGAGTTCGATCACTGGATTGTCGAATAAAGTTCGTCAACCAACTTATATGTTCTTTATTCAAAATCTAACTGACATAATTTTTTTCGTTGATGAAAATTCAATATTTTCTATGAAAATAAAATTAATCAGATAAAATAACAACAAGTATGAAAAGCGACTTTTCAATATTCGCCACAATATGCATGTGCATTCCGGCGGGTAAAATTTTTTCGCTACTTTGTTTCGGCAACTAAAGTATTCAACTACTAAAATTTGAGCAAAAATGGAAGAATAGATTTAAAATGGACTTCAGGACTCATTTTAGTTATTACTTAGTCAATCTAATTTTATAAAATTTGTTTAGTGTTTTTTTCAGGGTTCACGTTTTGGGTCGCGTTAAAGTTTTGATACACCTACATAATTTTTTTCGTTCTCAATTCACGCTGAGCTGCTTATATCGAAATTACTGCTGTTTTTTCACATAAATTGCTTGGCTTTAATATATTCATACATATATTCCATATATTGTTGAGTCATCTTGCAAACTTATATAACATCTGGCGAATATTATATACATATTCATCTTTTTTAAATAGATTCCGGATTAATAAACAAATTTCATTTCCTATCTTGACTGTTTATATCGTAACACTTCAGTGACTCTCATTAAGTGTCTACTTTTATTACATACCATATTTATAGTTACATATGTACGTACATTCTTAAGCTAAGTCATTTTTGTAATTTTATTGTAATTTTTAAACTGGATTAAAGTTATTTATAAATATTAAATAATCAAGTTTTTCAATTTCCTGTTGGGTTGGCTACCAGAGAAGCAAATATTTTTCCTATAAAACTGTCACCGTTTTTGAAATATTAATATTTTTTGAATTTATTTGTATGTGTTTTCTTTATCAGCAAGTACAAACAAGTATAGCCCTGTTCATTTTCTGTAAAATATTTACAGAGAGTTGCTTTACCTTTTTCAAATGCAATGTAGTTAAAAGATATTAAGGAATCTTTATAAAATTAAGACTGTTTTGGGATTTTTAAAATTTTGATATTTTCTTCCCCAAATTTGACTTTCTGTGGTGAAAAAATACACTATAACTACAAATTACATAGAAAATGGCCCATTTACTACTAATTTGGAATAGAAAAAAATTTTAACCGCTTTTATGTGTAAGGGACTGAGACACGCTAGAATGTAATTAATAGATTTAAATTTAAATTGCTCCTGTTACCGACCAATGACATGCTAAATAGCATACAGATATATGTATTATTACCCGGTCGCGACATTATCTTATGATATTTACCGGAATCCGGACTAACGAGTGAGTGACAATGCCGCTCGAAAACATCCAGATGTATATTGTGGTTCAATGTTGCAACTATGTATAGAGAGTAAGGTTTAAAACTCAACCAAAAAAATAAAAAGATTCCATATCATGAAACTAGTTAGTAGTAGTCTATATATATATTGCGTTTTTATTGTAAAATAAACATTTTTAAAAAAGTGTCCCTTTTTGCATATTTTTCGGACTTAAGTACTTTTTTTTTGCGATTTATAGTGCCTTTCCATGCCTATTTCGCTATTTTATTTTACCTGTTTTTATAAGTCTTTAGGCCCTAAAAAAACATTATTGTAATAAATTTACAACAATTTACTTTAATGATCCCACAATTGCAAGCTACCACTAAGTACACACAAACAGTGAATAGTGATCATTACACAAATGCCTAAAACGACACTTCATCGATAAGCATAATTTTGTGAAAATCAAACTTATTACAGCGATGCCTACTTTCAGGCGTTTTAAAAATTATTGCCTTTGAATAATTAAGCGCATTTATCTTTGTGTTTGTTTGAACGTATACGTAGCTGCAAACGACTTCGGGTTATAAATATTTATATGCAATCTATTCAAAAACATTGAACTGGATGTAGTGTATGGAGGATGGAATTTTGACCGCGGGAAATAAGGCCGTCTTCTTATTTGTTTGGCGGCCTAATTTATTTTTTGATCGCGGCCAAACTTCACTTGCTAAAATGAATTATTTCCGCGAGGGCTAATTTCTTTTTTTTTATCGTTTTTGATTGGCATAATGAAATTATCCGCATCAAATCACAAATAAATTTTATTTTTCATTTAGTCGACAAATGAAACCACAAAATAAAGAAAGGTGTTATCTGCAAAAGGTGTTCAGCCACTCTTATTTAAGAAGCATAGAGAACACTTTCAACTAAGCAGGAGAAATTTTTGTGGAATACAATTTTTAGATACCGCGCCGTCGAAAATGTAATTTCTCTTGTCCTTACCAACATTTATAGGAGGCCATTCGTTTAGAAAATGTGTCAGCCATTTTCTTGTATACGAAGTATGCTCGATGATTTCAAAAAAAAAAAAAATAAATAAAAAAATAAATTGCCAAAATTCAACGGCACTGGCGTCTGCCTACTTCAAACTTGCACTTTATCATACTAAAATTGAAAGGGCTTAAAAATTGCGTACTCCAAATTTTTCTAAGAAATCTAATTAAAAAGCTCGAATTTTTTACGGAACTTTGTTGTTTTTTTTTTGATGTTGCGCAAACATTGAGACTAGGTTTTTTGACGAATGAACTATATTTTTATAAACAAATAAAAAAAATTATACAATAATAAAATAGAAAGTCAAAACTTGTCAATATGTGAGTGTCGTAAGGTTATGATAAGCAATTTATCTTTTAAAGGTTTCCGGCTCTCATAACTTCAAATTCTGGCAGGATTCATTGTATCAACACTAAACCAAGTAAAAATTGATACGAGGTTTTCTCTTTTGCACCTTCCAGTTAGCAGAATAAACGTATGTACAAAGTTAATGAAATAATCTGTGAATAAGACGCCAGGTTGTTTGCATGTATTTATAAAAAAAAAATTTTATTGGATCAAAAATTGTGTGGGTAGGCTCCGTGGTCCATGGTAATCTTCTACTAACACCACTTACTACCCTGCAGAGTCCGCAAAGAACTCCGAAAGCATTCTCCGGAGGATGTGGCAGACAGGGCCGCTTTGGAGTGCCGTCAACTTATTAGTTAAGAAAGTATTGTTATATGGCACTTGAAAAGAGCATAGCATGCATTTAAACGCTTGGTGTTAGAAGTCGTTTAGGCGTCCTCCATATATCTAATTATTAATGAATTTAAAGATGAATAAGAATTAACCTAAAATTAACTCGAGTCGCCGTTGCATTAAAAACAAACATACGAAGACAGCGAATAATTTATAATACAAAAAGGTAAATATGAAAATTAGAAATTGTATTTTATTAAATAAATAATGTTGATTTAAATATTATACAGTGCTTTAAATATTGAGGTTTTTCGTTAACTGCCTTATGTACATTAGACTGCATCACTACCCATACAAAAAAAAAATCGGTACTGTTTTTCCACTGGAATTATAAAATCTATTATATTTTAAGACGTCCACCAAAATATTTCGGAAAAATATTAAGATTTAAGCGAGCTGGACCGATTTGAAAATATCTCCAAAAATTGAGTTTTTATGAATAAAAATAGTTTCTTAATGATGTTTTTTGAAGAAATTCCCCAAAATGACAAAACGGTTTAAGCTACAAAAAAAAATTGGTAAAAAAATTTAAGTAAAAATATTAAAAAAAAAATTTTTTTTTAAATTTTTAACGGAATCGTCATAATGAGATTTTTATTCATAAAAAACTCAATTTTGGGAGGTATTTTCAAATCGGTCCAGCTCCCTTAAAAGTTAATATTTTTCCGAAATATTTTGGCAGACGTCTTAAAATATAATAGATTTTGTAATCCCGGCGGAAAAACAGCAACTTTTTTTGGAGATGCAGTCTAATGTACATACATACATACATATGTATATTTTTCTAGTTTATAAAAACCAGTTTCTTAAATTTGCTTAACTACAAAATTATGCCTGCTATTAGTTAAGTAAGTAATCAGGCCACTAACCAATATACATATTAGATATTAATAACAAAATTTAATTTTTATCTTTTTATAATGTCTCTTATAAATACACCTTGCGCCCATCTGGCGTTATGTAATGCGTAGTGACACCCTGAGCATTTGTCACATAAATATTATGATCATTTTCACTGCCGCGAGGCGAGCGTGTTGTCGTTGTGTAGCGTGTCGTCTGATAACGACTGCTATAACGATTATTGCTAACATAATTCGTATTCGGGTAATCATAGTGATTATTCGAAGCAGAAGAAGAAGCACCGCCATAGTACGGACGCCTCTTATTAGCAGAGGAAGTGTTGCCAGATGAGTAACGCTTGTCATTGTAATTAGCAGCGGAAGAGTGGGAGTAAGTTGATGAGCTCGCAGGCTTGTAGCGATTGTTTGTACCACCCGGATACGTATCAGCGCCGCGATTATAATGTTGCCTATTATCGTTATACACCTGCACGAGTGTACTCTGTGCGTTATGGTGCTGCTGTGACAACGATGTGGACTCACTGTAGTAGATGGGTCCCAATTGCTTGTGGTCGTCATAATTTACGCTACTTTCTTCATTGCTCGCGACATTATTCTCTTCCGGCCGATGACTGTCGGATACCACAAAATGATCGGAATCCATATTTGGCATATAATCGTCATAGTTGGAGGCATACAATATAGGTCTGTTTAATATTTTACCCTTGCGTATGTGCTTCTCATAGTGATCGGGGAATAGTACGCGGTTGCCGCTTTCAGGTTCGTATGCTGCTGCTTCGTACTCCTCACGCGGTTGGCGCTCAGGCGCATTACTGCTAGCCTCATTGGTTTCCTTGAATATGATAGCCTTGCCGCGGCGCGTGTGCTTTTTGCGTTTGTCCTCAAACTGCAGTGGGCTGCCTGCGTTTTCAGGCGCAGGAAAACTTACCATACTAGTGGGTCTTAATCCATTGTGGCTCTCATTTTCCTCAACAAAATGCACCAATTTTTCGCCGCGTGTGTCTACAGTCTCACCATGAGCCCCACTTTCTTCTACATTAGCGTCTGCGTTTGCGGGGAATTTAAATTTTTTCTCCAACCTATCAGCATTAAATTTCTTAATCACTTCTTCTAGATAAACATCTTTGAGGCGTTCGTCATCTATGCCTCCATTGCCTTCTGGAAAAAAATGTAGACTATGTTCACCGCTTTTGAATACTACACGCCCCTGCGAGTCACCATAATCTGCGCTCTCATTCGGCACGCTAGCATTCTCATCCTCAAAGTCCACCACGCCTTGTGTATCTTCATCATCCTCATCGTCGTGAAAGTCTTCCGAATCTGCATCTTCTGGAAATTTAATGCGCGCTGCGTCATCGTGTGCGCTTTCTTCATCATCCGTCGCATTCTCGAAGGCAACCGCACGTTTAGCTCGACTGCTTCTGCGCTGAAACTCTACGCCACCTATATATTCGGAAAGTATATTGCTGAAGAAATTGCCAATGCCTTGGGTAATATCAAAGCTCGCGAGCGTAGGCGGGGACGTGGGACGTGGCGTTGTGGTTGTCACCGGCGAATTGCCGCCAGTTAGCGCAGAAAGTAAACCGAAAAGCGAAGTGCCACCTGAGCTGCCCGCACTTTGAGTTTGCGTTTGTTGGGACTGCTGTACAGCGCTGGTATTTGGTTCCTCCGATTCGCTGAAGAACTTAAAGAAGCCGCCACGGTGATTGTTCAGGTAATAGAGTATTTCGTACTGGTGAGCGATCGGGAGGAGAAAGTTAAAGTGACTGAGTGTGCTAAGCGATTCCATTAGCTACCTACGCTCGTACTTACCTCATTCTTCGGACACTTGGCATAAGTTTGCGTACAGCTGCGCTCGCCACCGCTGACCCCTAGCAGCGCTGCACGTCCGTAAATGAGCGCTGGCGACTGCGCTGGAAAGCCTGAAAGGAAGCTGCAAGTAGATAGGAACTTACATTAAATATGCAAGTTTATTGCTTGCTGGTAATTGAGCGTGTGGGAGTCAAGAAATTCACATTTTAAACGAAACAGAAGCCTTCGCTGAAAGCCCAATTTTCCTTCGCCAGCATTCTATATTCAAAAGCAATCACTGCAAGGTATTACTGTTAATACGCAGCAACATTAAAATTGAATTACTCTTACCCTCATTTTAAGTTTTCTTACAACTACTCCATCTCTTAAAGCTGCCAACACACATAGTACATACTCACTTCGTTATTGCCGGCGACGTAATGAAGTCAGGCAATTGTCCACGTTGTGTTTGACTAGCAATCATATTGCACAGCACCTTGGGTACACATTCCAAGTCATCATTGCGTGCAATATTCTCTAAAGCTTTTATGAGTTGCATGTTCGGTGGACGTCCTCCCCCAGCTGCACCCAGTGGACGCGTACCAGTTAAGGCATGCAGGAGCCCACCACCACCGCCATTGCCGCCTAAAAGTAGGCTGGTGAACTGTGGTGCGTACTGTTGTGTACCGCTGAAGAGTGAGGCCAAAGTAGCTAACCCACCACCACCACCAGATGAGGGCTGCTGCGGCTGGTACTGCGGTGGCGGCGGTGGACGGTAATTAGGCGGTGACGGGTAGTACTGTGATGGAGGGAAATTCTGCGTAGGTTGGTAACTCTGTTGAGGTTGGTATTGCTGCTGCTGCGCTGGGTAAAACTGTGATGTTGGATAGTACTGCCCAGGTGGTTGCCTTTCTCCACTTCCCACCAACGACTGTTGTGCTGGTGGTGGTGGTATTTCTCCCAATTGATACTGATAATAATTACTGTTGGGCGGTGGTGGACGTCTTATCGGTTCATTGCCTTGTGGAAAGTAAGGTGGTGCTGGTCGTACTGGCGCCGCTGGTAGTGCGGGTGGACGTGGCGTAACATACAAAATATCATTGCTATAGTGCGGCGGTGGACGTTTGTAATAGCCAGCATCACCTGCCTTGCCCCCGCCAACGCCTTGCAAATAATTACCAAACTTGTTTGCATAATTAGAAGACGTCAGCTCTGGTCTGCCGAATATTATCGCTCCCTTCGTCGTCGTAGTCGCCGTTGTTGTTGCTGCTGTCTGTACTGGCGCTGGTGCCGGTGCATATGCTGATTGTTGCTGGTAATTTGCTGGGTTGTCTTCTTGTCGTTGCGGTGATTGGAAATTCGATGTTTGCTGTTTATAATAGCTGGGCGGTGGGTAATCATGTGAATCGTAAGAAATCTTAGTACTCGCAGTTGTCGATACACCCAGTTTTCCCTTGAAGGGACGTTCAGTTTGTGTATCACCATCACGTCGATTGTAATCGTTGGTTGGTGGTGGGGGCGCTGCGCTCGCTACCGGCTCATATCTATTACTATATACGGGTTGGCTGTAAGACGTACTGGATTGCTCATCAAACACGTAACCCGGTCGCTTGTGTTCTCCTCCTTCCAACACATACTGTGGCCTCTGCTGATTGTAAATGGCTGGTGGGCGTTGTGCTGCACCCACAACCAACATGGATTGCACTGTATACTCCTGTGGTCTGCCAGCTTGTGTATACTGTGCTTGGTATATCGGCTCGGGTGCTGGGGGGCGATAGTCCAGCTGCCGCTGGCTAGTGTTGATCTTATTAGTGTAAGGGTCACGATAGATGAGTATGGGTGTAGTGTGTAATTGCGCAGGTACAAGCGACTGCTGCGTGACCGACTGTGGCTGCGTTGCACTGCTGTACAAGTACCTTTGTATATTTGAGTTTGTGTTAGGTAAGGCTGAAGCAGCTGCTGCTTGCTCCTTTTCATGTGGAAAGCTGAACTGCTTTTCCTCTTTATTGTAGGAGACTAAACCATATGGTCCACCATTACTGATGCGCTGTGGACGATAGTTCGGCTCAAGATAACTGGGTGGATATTTTTTCGGCATTGATTGGGCATCTGAGGATGTAAAGGAAATAATTTGCGATGGTCGAAAGTTGCCACTGTCACCGTTAGACTGGCGCCGCTCTACATTGCCGCTTGTAGTGGACATTACTTCTGTTACCTCGGAGAGGAGTTGTGAGGGACGAAAATCCTCATTGTATGCCGCCGAGTAACTGTAAAAGAAAAAGAAATTATAAGTTAGGTAGCATTAAAAATAATATGCTGCCTCCGACGAGTATAAAGAAGTGCATAGAGATGGTTTCAAAACGTAACGATTCTGCTTTGCGAGAGCTTCAACGCTCCGCGGTTTCCTATTTTTCGCCGTACAACTTTAAAACATACTACACCCAAGTTAGGCAAGTGCTTCAAAATTCTGTCATTCCAGCAACAGGTTATTCCTTCTAGTATTTCTAAAATTCTTTTAACCTTCAGAGTGTTTATAATAATATTTAAGCTAATTCTTTTACCCACATAATATAATGAAACACCGAGGAAGGATACTGGGCCTATAAATACTTCAGGCCGTCTTTTCCCTGCGCAGAGTATCAGCGGCTTCATTGCCGATGTCTACTTCACCGCTGTCAGCGTACTGATTCGGACATAGTTATATGGCGTAGACCTCAGCTTTGAAGGAACAATTGTTCATCCGTCTTCAAGGTAATAGAAACCTTCTAAGCTGCAGTCTGTAGAGCTGGGGGCGACCCCTTTGTTCCGGACGCAGCGGTTGGTCAGGGAGAGCTCCGTTTAGTCGAAGGCCTTCTATATCTATATCTATCTATAAGGCAATCCTCCGAGATGAGGAATGAATTGAAAGTATAGAGCACAATATTTGACGCTAGAAGACGCTCGGTTCACCCTTACTTCCTTGACTGCCTGGCGGACTTTAACGCAGCAGATACCCAAGTGGCCGGATGTAGCATGAGTTCTCTCTGAGTATTAAGCCGGCTATCTCTCGAGCGAATACGCTAACCATAGGCAGATGTAGAATCGCAGCTTTAGTAGGTGAGAATCAATGAGCTTCGCGTATGCAACCTTTGGAGCTCTTGTTGCCTTATTGAGGATAGGCCACCAGACCAAGGCTCCGTAAAGTAAAATCGGATGCATTATGGCCATGTAGATCCACAGTGAACTCCCTAGTTAAGAAACCCTATGATACACCAAATGCTTTTCACAAGTGAGGAACGTTGTTGTGGTTTTCTGATATGTTGTTATTTAAGAGAATCTTAATGTCTAGAAGTACTTGCCAGTACGTTTGAATTTCAGACTTGAAGCAACGAGTTTAGTTGGTGTAAGGGCGTTACTTTGTACCGTCTGGTGAAAAGGACTAAACCAGTAGCTGGGTTTATAGTTTTTGGTGAAGAAAGAGCGGTCTTCATAAGGGCAGCATTATACTTCTCAAAATTTCTTAACTTTTCTTAGAAAAAAGCAAAGAGATTACTATATTGATTAATATTATGTGTGTTTCCATTTATTAGTACATAATTTTTAACTTAACTTAAATTTTTTTACTAAAAATCGCTCTCAAAGGGCCACAAGGTTAGCGAAAAAACGAAACAGATTTTAAGACAAATAGTTTTTACAAATTTTCAAAGACCAAAGTAAATCTACTCCTTTCGGAGTACACTCCGAACACTGCTTAAATACGTTATTTTCTGTTTACTATTTTCCTTTGCTAGAAACGTAAGTTTGGTTATCTGATTTTCTTTTCAACTATTAGTATTTAGCATTTCGCTTCACTTGATTTCTGCTCAATGACCCAACATGGCTTTGAACCTTAATACAACTTGAATATCAACAATAATTTCCACAAGAAAACTTTTCTCGTTACTCATTATGGGCACATCTCCTACTACGTACATATTTCACTCAGCAAGACTGGCACTTACCTCGCATAATCAGCGATAGCTCCCACGTTGCTGCTACCCAAAGCATTTTCCGTGTTGCTGCTAGACGTACCACCTCCACCATCACCACCGCCACTGCTGCCCGCATTACGTATGCCCGCCACGTATACGGCAAATGTTATAATTAGAGTTGCAATTTGTTGCATACATTTCGGTGGTGGGAAGAACATATTCAGCAAAACCTTCTTGCTACTTACTTACGATATGCTATGCAGACTAGCAAATTTGCTATAAAGGAAAAAAACAAAAGAAAAAAATTAAATTTAATAAAAAAAAAAGATGGAAAAAATTAGACGCGTACTCATGCAACACTTGTCACCACTTGACTTTGAATTATTCCAGGCAATCAGACAGCAGCAACTTCTTGCCACTCTACCCGCGCTAATCTCGACTCACTCGCCTTGAAGTGCGCTGCTTTCTTCTAAATATTCGCCTCAAGCGTATCGTAGCACGCGCCAAAGCTATTCGCACTTGTCGTCTGACGCTGCTTATGTTGCCTAACACTTTTTATAAGTATGTATTTTATTTTGTTGATGTTGTTGCAAATGTGTTGCAGCAAATGTCAATGTTGCCAACGTCAGCAATTCATAAACATAAGCCAACAGCAATTGCAATTGCACTGAGACAAGAGTTGATAGTCTTTAACTAATGTGCTTATAAGTTGCCAATGGAGGTCGCGGGCGGCGGAATGGGTAGAGTGCGGGTTGTGTGTCTGCAGCGCGCGTTGCTACTTGTCACCTCACCTCGTTTTTTTTTTGTTTTTTTTTTTGTATGTATGTCTATGTATGCACACACTAGCATTCATGCGGCGCCACTTGAGTGTATCATATCTTACGAATGTAGAAAAATTGCAATTTTTCTTGTTATCCGCGGCTAGTCCTTGGGAATCTTACTTTCAAATACGAAGCGTCGTATTTGCATTAGCGTTTAAGTTGCAACGATTTGTGCACCACCTACCTCTCCACAAAACTTGCTTCTTTCACTTCTGCTACGATTTCTTGACAATTCTCACGTGCTCATCTGGGACAATAAATACTTTAGTTGATTCTCCCTCAAGCTTGGTATATTTGCGCTAAGTTTTATTTGTCTGCTCGAGGCGTATTTGCATTGCTTTTTGTTGGATACTCTTCCAAGCGCTGCTCTACTCTCTCGTACCTTCTGCTGTCCTTAGCGCAAATTTAATTTTTCCTGATTATGCAAAGTCACAGCATTCCTTGGCTGCCTTGGCGTCCTGAGTGGATTATGTTGATTTGTATAGCTTCTGGTGGCAAGGAGTTCGGTGTGTTGCCTGCAAAGTTGACAGGATAATAAATGAAAAAGTCAGTTTAGTAGTTGAAATGTTGAATAATGAAAATGTTGGAGCCTAAAAGGGGCGGGAGTGCAAGAAACGTCTAGTAGCATAGAAATTATTGCATGCAAATTATTCAAATTATGTTGATTGAGTTGCGTTATGAGTGTTGTGACTGTGCGAACGTGAGGTGTTTTAATGAATATCGAGTGGTTTAAAAAGTTAGTATGAGAGTTTTTATAATAAAACCAGCTGGAATGTATATATGTATATGTATATAATGTTACTAGAATTTCAGTATTTATTAATTTCTTGACTACTATCTCTCTTCCTGTCCTTTCCCCCAAATTCTTATAACTTATATTCTGCAAGCAAATAAATCGATGGATTATAAAAACTTTCGGTTAGAAATAGTTATAACTATCATCAGATTTTTTCGATATAATATCTAATCAACTCCATCCATTCACTTACTCCACTATTCACATACAACCTTTCAAAAAAGGGTAAATCAAATGTTGATCCATTTTAGGAAGTCTTGACCTACACATGATGCAAATAATTATGACTCATTGAAATCGATATAGTTCATTCTATAACAAAATACAATAAGTCCAAGCTTTAAACTTTGTAAAAAATAATAAAAAAATCTACAAAATTTCACTAAAGTTTCAAGCTCTTTTATTAGAATTTCTAGAAAATGTTTACTAAATCTACTAAAGGGCAAGTTTGAAGCTGTAAAAAATCCAGTTGACTCTGCTAATTACTTTTGCCGAGGGTCGAACATACGTTGTATGGAAGAAAATACGTGGCACCATCAGCAAAAAAAAAATATTTTTAAAAACCGACGGGATTTTTTTTATCAACTGGGAACTTGCATTTTATTATGGTAAAAGTTTTTGTTCTTTAAAATTGCATACACAAAAATTTGTTGTGTTTTTATTTCTTTATTCTTAACTTATTGTTATTAAGAAAATACGCTAACAATTTTTATTTTAATTCCAAGAAGTTAAATGAAGGCGCATATTTGCAATGTGTAAGTAGTTGCAGTATTAAGTAGCTCTACGCTTGACATGGCGTATGAGCAATATTATACGCTAACAAAAATTTTTGTCACTGTTCGTTTGGCGATTCTACAGAACCGATTTCAGAACCAAGAACACCATAGGAAAGGTTTTTTTTGTAGATGAGAAGAGTTTTCAAAACTGGCTGAAAATTACGACCAAAATCGTCGTTTAAAAATTTCCGCGTTTGTGTACAGTTGTTGTTGCAACCTGTTGACCTGTTAATTTGAGTTGTTTTCGCATTTTGTTGTACATAACAAAGATAAATGTGATGATGAAGAAATAAATGATAATGATTAAGACAAAAAAAGTGAAGGCAAAATTGAAGATAAAGATGAGAGTGAAAACAATGAGAAATACATAAGAATTAGGTTAACTGAAATGGTGGGAAGGTTTATAAAAATTTGTCGATAAGAATCGTAAAAAATAAGTCATAAAAAATATAGTTATAGAAGGTTATTAAGTTACCAAAATGTATTGAATCATCGAAATTTATTAAGTTATCCATTATTATTGAATTATCGCAACGTATCGAATTGTTCTAATTGATTTATTGAGTTATCAAAATTTATAGACAGAGACAATTAGTTGTCGAAATTTACGGATAGTTATCGAGCTATTAAAATGTATGGAATTATCGAAATTTGTCAAGTCAATGAACTTTATCAATTTATCGATATTTATTGAATTAACATTATTTATTGAGTTAACGAAATTTATCGAGTTATCGTAATGCATCAACTTATATCGTTTTTTATTCATTTACTGCGATTTGTCCATTTATCGAATCGAAGTTTTTTAACCTTCGCACTATGTCTTCTTTTCATATGGACTCATATATGCTAATGTTGTATAAATTAGTATAAACAACGCTATTATTCGGCTCGCAAGCGTATCTAAACGTACTTGAGTTGAGTAACAGTTCTGCGAATATTTCAAATCGCTTACGTAAATATTTAACGAAGAAAAAAGAAAAGGCAAGAAATCAAGCATAGTTGAGTTTAAGAAATCGCATTTCGTCGATTCTTAACTCTCTGAAAAAGAGTGATTATTTTTTTATAAATAACACTATTTATAAACCGCCCAAAAGTCTTAAGGAAATAAGCAATGCTCAAGGGTTAGCATTCATGCGTTGTAGGTGCTCCCAATTTTGTACAGTGGATTCCTCGTACATCGGATTTTATGGGCGGCATACACCGTGCGTCTGACTCGTCACCACTTTTTCTAGACTTTCAGCAGGAAAAAAAAGAAAAAAGTCTGATGAGGAGATGTGGTGATCTTCGAAATAGCTGCTATAACTTCTACCGCTTAAGCTTTGATGTTTTTTCCATTTTTCCTAACATACAAATCGTGGTACAAAGCTCAATAACACTATTGAAATAAATATTAGTACGCCACAATAAAAATTGAAAAAATGAAATTTATTGAATTTTTAAAATTTTTTTTTTGGACGGATAGCAAAAGAAAATAGGGTTACTCTTTTTGCGCCACCTTGTATGTTCGAGAATTTTTTTGTATGGAGCAAATGAGCAACACTTTCAACTAAATCAACAAAAAAAAAATTGCCAATAGTCAGCCGTAAGCCCTAACCACTTCAAACTTGCACCTTTTACACTAGGAAATCTATTTTAAAAGCACTAAACTTTGATGAAACTTTTTCTAAATTTTGTACAAAGTTTAGAATTTGAATTTAGATGGTTTAAGTTAGATAATGAGCTATACTTTCCCAAAGAAATATTTAGCATTAAATGACCAAACTAAAAATAGCCAAAACTTGTTAAAATGCCGCGTGACTATTTTGGTTTTCGGCAATGTATTTTAGACGTCTTTGTAACTCTGTGATTGGCTTGCGGCGTTTCATCGACTGAGCATCGACTACTGTTTAAAATTACATGGTATCACAAAAGAAGACCTCTATTATTTATATCCATGTGCGTCCCTAGCTGCGAACGATCAACCCAGCTTAAACTAACCTGGCTGCGTACGAAAAAAAAAATTGTCTTTAGTGTCTACTTCCATAGATTGGGGGGATATTATGGCTACTTAGCGGAAAGAAATTCAGCATTGTACTCCTAGCACAATAGTAAAAATTTTAAAACAAAAGCGGCAACAATCTATGGAAATCAAAACACATTTGCGTGGATGAGTTTAGATGCCTACCCTGCTATGGGTATTCAATTACATGAATGAACTATTATGCATACTCCTAAGATGGAAATCGTAAACAAAGCAATTTGAGCTGCAGAACGAATGGAATTAAAAGCTGCAACAGCATGTGGCAAAGTAACAAAACTGGCAACAAATGTGAAATTACAAGCACAATTTGAGCTAGTGAGTGCTGTAAGTAACACAAGTAACTTGTTATTGAACTTGTTGACGTCTTTTGCTGTAACTGTTGTTCCCGCCTTTTCATGCTTTCCGGTATTGGTTGCAAACTTGCAACGCTTGGACGTATTTCGCTGCAGTAATAAAAGTGCTTGCTACCAACCAGTAAGAGAAGCAATCGTGTCAGCATTTGTTGTTATTGCTTGGCCAGCTGCAATGCCAGCGTCTTGTTCTTCAATGTCGCTGCAACAATTACTGCTTGCTGAACATTGCATTGCAATGTTTTTAGAGTGCAAAGGAGTGTCACAGCCATGAAATTCTACTCAAATATGCACACTTGCAGCACGCACACAACTTTAGACAATAATCGTTAAAAAGTATGCAACAGAGGATGCTAGCGAGTTTCCAAACCCACTGAGGGGCACTGCGTCCACCATTTTGGGTTACAGCCGGAAATTGACTAGTAACGAATGCATTTCCTTTGTTAATGTAAACTATGTACGTGCAACGAATAGGAAAACTGTTTGTGGCAAGTGTCACAGCTGACTGACAACTCAAGCGCGTATATGCCATGTCGCGAGCGCTTGTCAATTTACCGTGAAGAAGTACCAATGCAAAAGGGCATTTAAAATTTTATTACAACCACTAGAAGACGTGATTCCAGTTTACAGTTTACAGCGTGCGGCGGGTGTGTGTTGTGGTGTTGCCACCTGTAGCGAAATTTGAGATGCACGAATGCGACTACACATTACTACCGTTAATGTATTTACGTGTAGCTCTTACTACGCTTATTTTGCCGTTGCTCTACATCTCGTCTCGAATTGTTGAGTCGAATTGCAAAACACCGCTAATATCACTCACTCAAGTCGCGCGCGCTTGTATATTTTTATTGTGATCGTGTACATGCAATATGGGTACGGATGTGAGTGCATGCGTAATTGCTTTATGCGAGGCCTTGCCGACGGCGCACAGTCGTCGGAGCAGATATGTTTTACGCGAAAAATTAGAAGGGCTGTTACGAATATAATAAAAAGGCAGTATCGTCGTATTTTTGTTATACTAAATCCGAATATGCCATGAAATTTTTAGTTTGACAGTTGACAGCTGTCAAATCAGCGTCTAGTTTCTATAGAAATAAGAAAATCTTTTTGAAAATACTTATTTTTAAGCTTTTAGGCACGTTAGTTACGAATTTTATGTCAAATTAAAAGTTTGACAACCGACAGCTGTCAAATTGACAGTGAATTCTTCTTAAAATAAGACAATCTTTTTTAAGATGCTACTGATTAGGTTTTTAGACATGCTAGTCATGAATTTGAAATCAACTGTAATTTTTCACAATATATTTGCTTGGCAAAATTTTATTTATTATATACGAGGGATCATATCTAAAATGAGTTTATGATCAAATTATGAAACTATAACTGTAATTATATTTATAAATTAGGAATATTTGGGGCCGTCTGCTATATGTTCAGCCCAAATAATTTGATTTAGGTCCCAATAGTTTTTTAAAATTTGTTTATTTTATACGAAATTCGTCATTACCAAAACTTCAGGTTTCTCATTTTTAAATAAAGTTATTCAGGTTTGAATTTTTGGAAATTTCGGACGCCATATTGGATTTCGCATTTGGAATTAAAAAAAAACTGGCTTGAAATTTGTAATGAGCAAACTTAAGAACCTCTAAATACCAAATTTCATCAAAATTCATTAATTTATTAAATTCTTGGACGCCATATTGGATTCGTTATTGGATCTTTGAAATTTGACTTCAACTTTGTTAAGAAATTACAGTAATCTTTTATATTTTAATACTCCTTATGTTATTTGGAACAACTGCTAAAGTTGGTCCACTGAAATGACACTACTTTTTAGTAAAGGAGTGAAGATCCTACTCGGCCCTACTAATTAGTTATTCCTTTTTGGAAAAAATATTTCTTGAAAAATAATCCGTGTTATTAAGGAATTTATAACTGGGCAACAAATGTGTATTATATAATATTTCACATGAAATCCTAATTTTTCATGTTTAAGAAGTAACACCAAATCAGCAATTACTATTACATTTTGAAGTTTTCATACAAAAATTGGAAAGAAAGCTATCAACTAATAACTATTAGAACATCCCACGAACGAATTCGTTGAATTAAATGGATTCAACGGCTTCTTCAGCAGATATTATTAAAAACACAAATCAGTTTTGAGTTCGCTGGACATTTCTGAATAAGAATGGCTCTATTCCGATTAATTTATCACAGTTTTAAAATATGCCTTTTTCGCGTGAAACATAGCCTATCCGACCACTGTGCGGCGTTGTGAGGGTCACAGCTATATACCTACCACTTGAGCTGTGCCACTCAAGTTCAAGTTTAATGCCCAGGTTTTGACTTGCGTACGCAATGGGTTCAGATGTTCGCATCGTTTTTAAAGTAATTTTTCGGCACTTGGGCATGACTAATGTTATACGTGTGCGTTATAACAGTTGGTGAATGGAAAATTTCGAAAAATTACCGGTATTAATAATTTGATTATATACTGGATAGTATGCATTGCATAAATGGAACAATCGTTGCACAATGGGCCAGAAGACTGAAAAAGTGACCAAAAACCAATGTAATTTAAAAGCTTAAAACAATAGGCTTATTTAATCTAGATACTTTGAAGTATGCAAAAACAAAATATTATGAAAACCATAAAATCTGAAAAAGCGTTTGTACGCTTTAATTACGAAAAGATTAGATCAATTTATTAATAAATTCTAAAACTACAGATATAGCTCTTGAATTTGCTTAAATTATCAAAAAGACTTAGAAAAATCACTGTAGCAAAATATGTTGATAATTTTACTTTTGGTTTTAAAACACATTGTCGCCACTGCTAGCCACCGCTGTTAAAAAAAAATATAGCGAACTATTCAATAGCCAAAAATATTTATCTACATTAATAAAAATCGGCGGAGATTTTGCGCTTTTTGTAAATAATTTTTAAATTTTCAAGAAAACGTTTGTTCGTCTATGAACATGTACGATACACGGCGTATGAGTAACCTTCCTGTCCGGTCATATCTACATATACATTTGTAGTATTTATAAAGGAAAACCTCGAAAACTTCTGAATGGATTTGGACGAGATTTTCTCTAATATATTCTGTATCGACAGGAGAGTGACCTTTGGCATGTTAAATATAATCTGTATCAATAGGAGTATTATCTTTAGTACTTAGAAAATCTATAGCGTTGCCCCCTATCTAAAAAATTATAAGATCCGTTCGTTGAATTACCAAATGTGAGATGACAAATGAAAGGGCTTCGCCTCTAGATGTTCAGTAACGTATTAGTTTTTGAGTACGGTTGCCGAATTTTTTAAAAATTATAAAATATTCCCCGTTCGTTGGACTTAAAATGAGGTACCAAGCGAAAGAATGTGGATTCCGGATGTACAATAAGCTTTTACTTTTGTTGAGTGGCATTTTTGGTTAATGACACCAAATTTGTACAGTTCATTCAATTATAAAAAATGAGGTGTCCAATCAACGAGCTTGGCCTCCAGATGTGCAATAAGGTTTTATTTTTTCGAAGAGGGTTGCCACCTGTACGAAAAATTATAAGATTTGGGATGTTCGTTGGACTAAACAGTGATTTGTCAAATGACTTGATGGGTAATATGACTTTAATTAATTTATATTTAAATAAAAATAAAAAAATAAAAGAAAATTTTAAAGTAATTTGTGATGACTAAAATTACCCTTTTTTGTTTTTTTTTAAGTTGGTTTTTTCTTCCGTTAATTAAATTATTAAAAAATAAATAAAAAAGTACTAATAAAAAAATAGTACAAATAAAAAAAAAAATAAAAAAAAGTGTGGTCTTTTATTTCCGTAACCTCCTCGTGGTTAGGCCCTGGATACTGCGAGTATTTGTAATCTAATAACAGGTTAAATTTTGAAAGAATTTTTAATTCCATTTACCAATTTTAGTCACATGAATGTATATTTTAAAATTTTTCAAAATTGCAAAATCGTATTTTTATTTCTTTAAATAATACAAACTAAATAATTAGAACAATAGCCTTAGTTGATAGATATTTAACCCTGCTCAAAAACATGTTAGGGTTAAAGCTTGTTCAAACACTTTCCGTTCGATACCCATATTAATTAATTAATTAATTAATCCCAACGGCTTTTTACCCTCCATTCCCGCCCAACCGACACGAGGGGCGCAGTCCGCATGACGTGCGGAACCTTTTTTTTTTTGTTTTTTTAGTTTTTTCGTGCCGAGTAGTGGAAACAGGAGTTTGTTAAGTGTCGAGATCTAAAACTATTCAGCTACAGAATCAAATTCATCAGCTGATTGGATATGCTAAAGATAGTATTTCAATTATTGAGAGTGGAAATAATAGTTTTCTTTATAGTAAAAATCGAGTCCGATACGTCAAACGTGCTGGAATGACAGTTAAAATCTTGACATAAACCACGGAATGATTCGTTTAGTTCAAAATTAGTTTTGCATGGCTTTAAAAATAGAGGTCGAAAGTGTCTTGACATTCGAGAAGGAACATTAAAATTATTGTGATATTAAATAAGCATACATTTTTTAAAACTCTAGTGCGGTGGCCACCTTAATAAAATATTACACGTAGCCTATAAATGTAAAACGGAAAAAGTGCGAGAAATCTTCGTTTCGAAAACATTTTAGAAATTTTTGTTTCGAAAAAATTTTAAACAGCCGTTTGTGCAGAAATTCGTAGGGACTGGGTCGGTGCAAAACGTGAGAACAGCCGTGTGTTTTCACTACAGGTCGTTCGATGCCGGTAACGCTGTTGCCGTGACATTGTTGTGAAATGATAACCATTTTTTATCGCCTGAATAAAATAACATGGACCTGAACAATATGTGGTTGTCACACCGCGCATGAAGCAATGGCCGTATTTCGGACGAATTTCCATGAAACAACGAGCTCAAATGACCGCCGAGATATTGCAATTTGACAGCATTCGACTTCTTTCTCTGGGGTTCGTGAAAAGTATGGTCTATGCCAATAAGTTTGGAACGTTTTCAGAGCTGAAGAACAAAATCATACCCGTTATTAATGATATACACCGCGAGCTATGCCAAAACGTCACCGGAAATTTTGATATGCACATACTGTATTGCCAGAGGAGTCGTGGCGGGCATTTAACGGATATTGTGTTTAATACAGATGTATGTTAATGCCATGACTAAAAAAATGATGAAATAAAGAAAATCATTTCCACAAATTTTTTGTGTTTTATTTGCATAAGGAAATCTGCGGTCTTATTAAATCCCCTTTTACATATGTACACATCTCACATATTGGTCAAAAGTGTATTAACTCAAAATATAAATTTTTCATATTATTTGTTTATATATTTATTCATTATTAGTACTAAGGAAAAAGCTTTTGCGTTTTCTGACAAACGCAAATTTTTACTTAATACTCGTGTGATTTTGATGGGCACAGTTTCTATTTTATTGTGCAAAATAAAGCTTTTTTTCTTACTAAGCGTACAAGCCTGTGTGTTGCATATTTTTCTTTTGCTTATCAGTTACTCCCAACAACGATATTACAACACAATTTTGTTACAAAACAGGTTATTACTTCATTGAAACCCACGTGCAAACACCAAATCACATTCGTTACTCTTACTTACTAAATAAGTCACATAAATCCGATTTCAATGGTATTTTTGTGCTGTTATACTTCTTTCTGGTCACAATATTTCCCCTTTTTGTTGAGCGCGGAGGCTTTTGCTTTTTCAATATCACTAAACGATAAACCACTGCGTACCACTGGAACCGATTAGTCAATCGCAATTTTCCGCATATGTAAGAGCAATTTCTTGAAAAGTTTTCACTTTCATAATTTTATTTATTAAGTACACCGGCGGGTTTTTCCCTCATTTTCACATACCACGTACCACATATGATTTTAAGTTTGCATTATATGTATTCTACCAAAAAAGCCCGCATGCCGGAAGCGAGCCGTAGCCGTACAAGCGTTGTTCACGTAACACTTAACAGACAATGCGATTATTGTTTGTAGTTTTATTTTTTTTTGATGTTGTGGTTTTTTCTTTGTAATATTTCACTTTTGCTTTCGTTTCATCGGCCGTGTTTACTTTTCGCGTTCGATTTTACGCTGGTTGGTTAACTATATAGTAAGCGCAATTAAATTTTTATTTTTGCTGTTCACGTCTTCACTTTCCTGTATGCCGCGTTTTGTATCTTCATGCGATCATAGTTGCGCATGCGCTTTTGTTAGCGTTGTTCGTCTGCACCGTCTCACGTTTGGTTTACATTTGTTGGCCAACTTGGTTTGTTGGCTCGAGGTTGTTGCCATTTTGCCTGCGCTCGCAATCAATGCAACATTTTGCTCAACGAAATTGAGTGCTTTTTGTCGCTCTGTTGATTTTGTTGCCTATTTTATTATGAAAAAGTATGAAGCGCTTAGTATCATTTCCCTATTATGTACATAGTGATCTTGCTCATTGAAATCGAAAGTGAGTTGATATTTTGTATGTCATTGCATTTTTTGAAAGACTTGAAGTTTTGAGTGTTTTTATTTTGAGTTGATCGACAAGAGTGCAAGAGTTAAGCGGAAGTTTAGTATACTATACGTATGTGGTGATAAAGATGTTGGTAAAGCGTAAGTTCGATTGTAGCGTTTATTCAAAAGGTTGGGATAAATTGTGAGCGACAGGAATCATGTCTTGATAAATTCTGCATGAATATGGCTTTAGTTATTAAACATTTTATACATCCGAAAGCACAGGATCATTTTAACATTGTTCGCGTAAAGGTTGTTTGTGGCATATGTATATAAACATTAGGATGCCTCACCAAAAAGTGTTACTGTTTTGCATTGGAATTATAAAATCTATTATATCCTAAGACAGCCGCCAAAAAATTTCGATAAAACATTAAGATTTACATGAGCTGGACAGATTTTAAAATATCTTCAAAGACCTCGTTATTTTGATTCCGTTTATAAAGTTTTTAAACATTTTTATGCAGACCCTGTAAGCTTAAAATGTTGTATCATCTGAGGCGATATTTTGGGGATTTTTTTTTTAATCTAATTTTTTTAACAAAATCTCGATTTTTGGAGGTATTTTCAAATCGGTTCAGCTAACGTAAATTTTAATATTTTTACTAAATATTCGGATGGAAAAACAGTACCAATTAATTTTTATTTTTTGTATGGAGTGTGTGCACCCTAATATACGTACATACATATGTATATAAAAAAATATTAAGAGAGACATAGACTAAGCTATGTCTCTGCGTCCGTCCATCTATGCATTTATAAAAATTAGAATATTTCCACAAAACTTGGTAAACGTATTTCTCTTGGGCTAAAGGCGGATGACTGCCCATTAGCCGACTGGTGTGCGGATGATCCTTCCGGCTCTGGGGGTACCTTTCGTCCCCATACTCTACCTGAAGTGCGACTACGCTATTCATGTTCGAAGCACACAGAAATAGGTTATACTACTACGGTCATGTTTCTAACAATAGTACTGGATCGTCTTAGTCAGGAGGATAGCGAAAAATTCTCAGGTATGTACTCCCGTTGAACCTATTGGGCATACCCAGGTAGACTCAGTGTTGTTGGCTTCAGAGGCCATGGGAACTTGAGACTCCGCTTACCTAACAAGAGCCCGGTCATCGAGGTCATTGCAAATTATTTATATTTCCGGACTTTTAGCGACCTTAACCACAAGCGGCCTTGGTTTTGAAGTCTCTTTTAATTCCCCTCAGGGCTAACCGAAGTCAGCACATTGATTCAGGAAATAAATCTGAATTCTACCTTAGGGATTGTTAGCTTCACCGCCAGGAATGGAGAGCCCTCAAGGCTACCTTAGAAAGTGGCATATCTAGGAAAGATGCTATTAAAATTACCAAACACGGTTACATTTTTAATATGAAGTTGTAACGAGGCGCTCTGTGGAGCAATCCCCTTATAACGCTGAAAAAGCCAAGAGTTTACGAACTGGGTGGCTTCTTTTAGTCCGTTCGCATCCCAAACCGTAGCATGGCCACGGCAACTCGCCGAACACATTAAGACCAATAATGGTCTGGCCGGTGAAAGTGATTTTTGGCTCCCATCGCAGCTCAGAACAGTTTTTCAGGCATGAGCAGGAAAGTTCCTCGTAGACTGGTATATTCCCAGCATCTATATTTGGTTATAGTCATTGACATGAATAAATGACCCTAACAAAAGGCAGAATCGCCTACAACCATAAATGCTTTGCACCAAAAACCTTTAATTGAAAAAATCTTGCCAGGTGTGCCCATTCGATTTATTGGAAGCATCAAAAGTCAAATAATGACTAACATAAACACCCAAAAGCATCACGGAACTACGTATGTATATATGTGCGTAGTCGATTGCGTATTAACATCAATTACAAAATCAAATATTGAGCAATAGCTAATGCGGTTATGGTGTGATTCCCAGCCAAAATAGTCAATTCCATTTTGCTTGCAGATAAGCAACAGCAGCAAACCGAAGAAAGGGGGCATTATTGGCTGTGTCAAAAAGGCAGACGAAGTCATTGTGCCAAATCCATAAATAAATAAAAATTATATATGTAAATAGGTAAAAACTTTTGGCACATTATGCTTATATGTATTTAAAAGCAGCCAAAGTGGCATTTGAAAAACTAAAAGTGAAAAGAAAATGAAAAAATAAATGAATGCTTGAGTGCATTTACGTTACATTCGAAAAGACTTCGGTTTTGTTAACTAAAAATTTTGGTTTTTGAAAGCAAGTTTTGTACAATGTTTGATACGTTTCTACGTTGGCTGATTTATAGACCCAAATGCCCTAGCCGATTTACTGGAAGTCTTTTCAAGGACAATTCTGGGATGTTGCACATCGTCAGAATATTCATGCACTCTCTCTACAAAGGTGATTTTTATTTTTTCGCTCAGAGATAAATATTAATAATTTTTGAGTTATATTTTTCCACTTAAAAATAATGATTTTTATTAGGGCTGTGCGATTAATTGATTACTCAAAATTTTAATTAATCATAAAGTAAATAACTCAATTATTCGATTAATTGGAAATTATGATTACTCAAAAGTTCAGTTACTCGAGTAATCAAGATTTTTGATTAACCAAAAACAAAAATATTTGAGTAATCTGCTTTATGATTAATCAACATTTCGAGTAAAATGAATAATCAACATTTCAACGCTTTACATATAAAGTAGTTGAAGTTCCTTGATACTCTGAAAACATGGTTTCTGTTTTCAAAAATTGAAACGAAAAATTTTTTTCTATACAGAATATAAAAAAGAAAATAAGCATTTTCCAAAGCAAACTCTCTTAACGAGCAAAATTATTTTTTTTGAGTAATCATATTTCAATTAACTCGATTAATCATCGTTTTGAGTAATCAAAATCTAGATTACTCGAGTAATTGATTAACCAACTTGCTCGAGTAATCGAATAATCGCACAGCCCTAATTTTTATAAATTTGAAAGGGCTATACAGACGCAACTTACTGAAATTTTGAACTGAAAATTTTTGGGACTTATTTCTTTTATTAGGGTTTCGCTATCTCTGAAAAGGATACGGCGAAAATAGTAATAATTATTATCCATGAGCGAAAAAATAAAAATCTTCATTTCTAAACTACACGTAGGAGGGTTGCCACTTGCTTAAAAAGTCAAATTTAAGCTGAATTAGGGAAATCAGATAAATGAAATATATATAAAAATATGGGTGTCAGACGAAACAGGTTAAAGAGGGTTGCAGAGTGAAAACATTTTGAATAGGGTGGCCAACTATTAAAAAAAAATTACGTTAAATTATTTAACAAGCTAAGTGAATTAATATTTTATGGCTATCAGTCGAAATAATTTTAAACAGGTATAATTTCTAAACTACATTTGGGAGGGTTTCCATGTCAAATTCAAGTTGAATTACTGCAATTAGGTATTTGTATTATATACCACAATACGGGTGTCGGACGAAAGAGGGTTAAAAAGGTTGTTGTTTGAAAATGGTATGAAGAGGGTTGTCACCTGTTTGAAAAGTCGAATTTAATGCGATTATACACAGTGAAATGAAATATATATTAGACTATTTTGATGTTTGAAAGGTTGCTACCTATTTAAAAATTTGTATTATTACAATATGGGTACCAAACAAAATGTTTTTGAAAAGTCTTCATTTCTAAATTACATGTAGGAAAGTTGCCACATGTTGAAAAACTCTAATTCATCTTGGATTAAGGGAATTAGGCAATGTTTCACAATATGTGTGCCACGGGAAGGAGCTTTAAGAATGTTTCGGTTTGAAAATATGTATTTTGTAGGGGGTAAAAAAACGAACAATTTGAAATCTCCAATTTTTTCAAATGGGTGGGTGTTCCTCCGCAGTTTTTAAAATTTTCAAACCTTTTTATTTCACCTTTTAGTTTATTTTTTCTCTGAGTGTTTAAAATATCAAAGAGCATAATAAATAACTTACATAAACACTTAAATTGAATGGGATAAAAAGCAAAACATTGAATATCAACTGCTTTTTTCAGTTTCATTAACCGCTGTTTTGGAACGGTGCAAAAAAAAAATGCAAAAAAGCATATGTGTGCCAGATGAAGGTGGAGAAATATTTGGAAGTTATTATTAAGTAATTTATAATAAAAAACATATAAATAAACCAAAAACATTGAAAAGACGGCTCGCGACAAGTTAAAATGTTGAAAAAGGAACCCATATACGAACAAGTCGAAAACAAAGTAAGCCGACAATTACAACCCGCACCATTGAGGGCATCAATATGAAAACGAGAAAAAGGTTAATGCAAACTATAGACTCGTATGAATGTACATATTTTCAAGAGAAAAGTGAATTTTTGTGAAGTCATCTGCAAAGCCAAATTCGAAAGAAACACAAGTCAAAGCAAAATTAAAAAAAAAATCTCGTACTAGCAGTGGATTACTTAATTTTCAAAATTCGCATAACGTGGCCTAAAGCGTTTGCTTTATACTTTTATTAGTAAATATGTATATCTACGTATGTTAATATGTACATATTCGCATTAAGTGAAGGCCAAAAAGCTACAATAAATTGGTTGAAAAGCAAAGAAAGTAAAACAACGACGTCGACAGAAAAGCACTTTGTATTTGGAAACTCGGTGTGTTTTTGAGCCAGCAAACTTTCTCCCCACAAAGAGTTGAGTGCAATTCATTGTTGCATACAGTAAACGGTTTTAATATGACAAAATTACTCTAGTTATGTACACAAATGAGTAAG